GCTAATGCTTGGTACAGGATGCTAGACTTGGGTGTGACCCTTGGTGTGGAGGGCTTTGACCTGAGCGGCCTCCAAGCACCATCTCGGGGAAGCAATCTCCTACCTTTGTCTCCCCAAGGATGAGGGTGGGACTAGTCAGTCTAAACAGATCGGTCCTGCCCTACCAGACCCATTTTCCTAACTTGAGCTTCATCTAAGCACTCCGGCCTCAACCATGAAGGTCCACCCTCTAGCCATGCATCTCAGTGTTGCATCTGATTAGGTCATTTGACCAAAAACAGCAGAAAACACTCCCCCTCCCCCCCCTCGAGGAGGTAGAAATGGAGAAAGTAGCCCAGGGCAGGTACACGCTCTATGAAACCCACACAGCCGAGTAGTTCTGCTGGAACAACGACCAATGTGAGCGATGCTGAGTAATACTGCATGTTCCCCTTGGTGCAATGGTCTACACCCATGTCAGACTTGAAACCCCCTCCCTCCCATTTTTAATAACTTATTTCGATTCATAATAGAGTACTTGTGTGAGAGAGAGGCAAAGAGAGAGGACACACTACCCCCAACAGAGCTAGGTCACACAGCAATCCATTTTCCTCCGTTCCTCTATCCCATCAGAATCCTGGGCATGTGCACATATGCCTGATGTATTTAAGCCACTGAGTCAGGATTTGAATGAGGGTAGGCCATGTGGGATCTGGCTCTGTCTGCACAGTGCTTATCCACTATACGATAGGGTTGACCTTTATAAAAAAAAAAAAAACTTATTTGTTATATTGTTTTTCTTTTTCTTTTTTTTTACTCATCATATTGTGTGTACATGCATGTGAGAGTGAAATAGAGGGGAAAGGAGAGAGGACGCCTTCCACAGGGTCCCCTCCCTCCAGTGCTCAGCCTATCAGACCTTGGGCACTTTTGTGCATGTCTGGCATGTTTTGTGATGCCCAGCATGGTATTTGAACCATGATCATCACCACGTTGGATCTGGCTTCTCTTGAACGGCACATTCCCATTCCATCACAGAGTCAGCCATCATAAATATTTGCAAAAGCCCTTTATACTAACCAGAAGTCAATGCCCGGATAGTTAATAACCTAGTCACACTTTATATTTAATCAATATTATGCCCTAACTATAAATTAATGGTGATAGAGCATAAACATACTGATCATAGAAGAACCTGTAATCTAATATATCCACTCTTAGACACAAGTCCAGGGGAATGGTCAAATGTTTGCTTCTAAAGTTAGGATTGATGGATGAGCCAACGGTGTGGTGGTTAAGGCCCAGGCTCCTACATGGCCAATTATGTGGTTCAAGTCCCAGATCCAGTGGCTTGAAAGTCATGCCAGGTGAAAGTATGAGCATGCCCAAAATCCAAAGAGAAGAATGGTGGAGAAGTTACTGTGGTGCAGCTATCCCCCTAGTAGTGTTTTCTCATTTTCAGTCTCCCTATCTCTGTCTCTCCAGTGAGCACACATGCCATATAGCAAAATTACAAATGCCAAAAAAGCATAGAATTGGTGCAAACATGACAGCATCAACTGCAGACTGAACAGGTGTGTTGTTTTGGCACCTCAGAGGCCACCAGCTGCATCATCTCAGTGATGCAATTTTCCAGAATGGTGAATGACTCCTGATAAAATAATAGGTGCATCAATCTTTCTTGGTTTACCCAATGGCTACATGCACGGAAAATTCAGTAAACTTCAAGTCATACAAGGGACTTTCAAAAGTTCGAGAGAAGTAAATTAAAGTACAAGGTTACTTTAGTGCCAAAGAAAAATGAAATCCAGATATAGTGTGGGTTTTTTCCAAAATTTTTTTTATTTTTTAATTTGCATTTAATCACTATATGTCTTTATAGTGTATAGCATTGCCTTTTCCAGAATGAATATGGTGCATATCAATCAAGACAAATACATTATCATATACATTATCATCCGCAAATAACTTTCATTAGCGTTCATGTGGTTTTTTTTTTTTTGGGGGGGGGGGGTTTTGCTATAGGGCATGTGCGCTCACCAGAAAGAGAGAGACAGAGAGACAGAAAGCGAGAACAGAAAGCAAGAAATCAGCCTCCACAGGGGAGATGGCCACACCACAATCTCTTCTTCTCTATTCTCCTCTCAGGATTTTGGGCACACATACACATGCGCCTGGCATGAGTTAAGCTGCTGGGTTTGGGACTTGAACTGCGGTTGACTACATGGGGGTCCAGTGACATAACCATTATGCCATCTGCTGGTCCCATCATTAGTGCTTTTCTAATATGTATTCTCCATGAACTTTTTGATGACCCCTCATATTTTTAACACAAGAAAAGTTAGGATCTCATCCAAGGTCTTCCTTGTGTTTTTTTTTTTTTTTTTCTCTCTCTCTGTCTCTCTTTTTTATTTCTAGAGGGCACATGTGTGCACCAGAAAAGGGAAAAGAAAGAGAGAAAGCACCCCCTAATGGGGCATGGTCATACTGCAATTCCTTCTTTCCCATCAGGATTTTTGGCACACATGCACGTATATCCACCATGTTCATCAAGCCACTGGAGCCGGGATTCAAACCACAATGGACCATGTGGGTTCTGGCTCCCTTAACCACTGTGCTATGGGGTCAGCTCTAAGCCTACTTTTAACTTCATCCCTGGTATTAATGGGCATCTGCCACCTCTGATGCCACCTCCATCTTGCCAGGAACACTCCTTCCCATCATTGTAACAACCGTAAGTGCCCTCACAGATTGCCAGTGTCCCAGGGGCCAGATGGGGCATGGCAGTAAAACGTGATGTTCTCTGAGGTCAACCCACATAGGAAGGTTCCATGTTCATATCCAGAGACCTCCCTGTGCACAGTGGGCACACACATACCCATGATCTGGGGCTAACTGAAGCTGGGGGTGTATTGTAGCATCAAGGTTTGTCGGGATTGCTGTCTTTCTGTCTCTTGTTTATGGCTGATATAAATAAATAAAACTGAAGAAAATAAAATAAAATAAAATCAGGCCAAACCCATAGCTTAGGTTAAGGGAGCTGGATTCCACATGGCTGATCACAGTTTGATTCCAGATCTGGCAGCTTGAAAAACATGCTGGGTGTGTGTACAAAATCCTGATAGAATGGAGCAGTAGAGGTGAAGGGATTGTTGAGGTGTGCTTTCTCCCTCTCCCTTTCTGTCTCTTTCTGGTGAGTGCACATGTCCTTTGGCAATTAAAAAGAAAAGAATCAGTGTCCCAAGCCAGGCATCGGAAGCCTGAAGGCAGAATGTTCTTTGGGCCTGGCAGGCCTGGAATGATTCTGGCCCTTTGTGACCCATAGGTGCCTGGGAAACCCTCATTCCCCCAGTGACCTCTTCATACAGGCTTTGTGTTGGGGTGGGGATCGGCCCTGGCATCCTATACACTGGATGAAGAGTGTGCAGCTCAAGTAACCTGCTGACTTGGGTGACAGGGAGGCCCACCAGGCCTGGAGCCCCAAACCCAAGGTACGCTCACCAGCCCATGGCTTCTGGGGCCAAGCAGAAGCTGGACAGAACCATCTTCCATTTTCTCTTTCCTTCTAGAGACAGACTAGTTCTCTTTGGCTCTCTCTTCCATTTCCCTTCTGGGCGTCTCTGTTGTTTGGGGGTCAGGACACTCAATTTGGGAAAGAAGTGATGTTTACTCTAGAGGCAGTCTCATGCCTCTTTCCATCCCAAGAGGAAGGTGCCCCTGGCAGGTGGTGGCTGTGTGTGAGGGACAGTGAGGAAGGGAGGTGGTGCATCGGGGGCTTTTGACACCTCTACACTTAGGAGCGGTCACTTTAAGATGCTGCATATTAGAGAAAATCCAGGTTGCCCAGCTTGCTGCCCTGAAGGAGGGTTCTAAAGAGGCCAAGGTCCCCGGTCCAGCATCCATCTGGACCAGCAGACCAGCCTCACCCCACGCTCTGATAACCCCTCCCACAACAGTCACCTTTCTTCTGAGATTGTGTGAATTCTTCTTCGTAAATAGGACATGTATGATTTTAGCCCATTTCTATAGAGGAGGGAATGGAGGTTCAGAGAAGTGAAGCAACTTTCCCAGGGTCACACAGCACGAGCGCCTAATGCTGTCCTGGTTCTAACTAGGAGTCCGTGAGTGTCATTCCAAGGTAGAGCAATGGAAAAAGCCCACCAACTTCTCCACCCCAAATTACATGTAAACAGTGGCTTTTGACCATTTTTCACGCCAAGGTATACGCAGAGTCACATCAGAAGTGAGAAATGAGTAATAAGCAAACAAATGCATGTGATCTAGGTGGCAATATATGCTATGAAGGAATCAGCACAGAGATTGGAAGAAAAGAGGCTTGAGGTTGGGTGAATATCAAATCAGAGTCATGGGGTGTGGAGGCCTTTTGCAGAGGCTGCATTTGTACTGAGGCCGGAAGTATCTCCACCGTGGGAAATCTAGAGAAGGGTGTTCCTGATACAGGGCATAGCAAGACCATAGGCCCTGAGGCAGGAACCAGGTCTGGATGCTCAAGGAACTACAGGAGGACCTGTGGGGCGTGAGCGCCTTGAGGGGGTGGTGGGGGTGGGGGGACAGTGAGATCAGCAAGTGGGCGGGGCCCTCGGCCACACTATTGCTACTATCTTCCATGTCCCTGCCTGAATTTGCTCACTTGGCTGTCTTTTTTAAATTTTTGCTACAGGGCACATGTGATTGCAGGGAGTTGGGGGAGTGGGGTGGGGGGACAGAAAGAGAGAAAGTGAGAAATCGCCACTCGGTGGGGGTTGGGGAATGGCCATGCCTCAATCCCTTCTCTTCCATTCTTCCCTTGGGATTTTGGGCATGCACAAGCCGTGCGTCTCGGACTTGGATCTCACAGTTGGCCATGTAGAATCTAGTCGCCTTAACCTCCATGCCACCTGCTGGTCCAATTCTTACCATTTTCTTATGGCCGCTGTAACAAATTACCCCAAACATGATAGCTTAAAACAACATACCTTTATTCTCTGGTCGTTGTGAAGGTCCCAGCGCTGAAGGGCTGTCTCACTGGGCTAACATCAGGCTAACATCAAGGAGTTAGTAGGGTTGGGTTCCTTTCTAAAGGCCCTAGACACGAATCCACTTCTTGTCTTTTCTGGCTTCTAGAGCTTCATTCCTCGCATTCCTTGGCCCCTGGACCCTTCCTGCATCTTCAAAGCCAGTAGTGTATCATCTTACTTCCATCATCTTCTTTTTTAGCCAATCCTTTCTGCCTCCCTCTGGTCAAGACATAGTATTACATTCAGGGTCCACCCAGTTAATACCAGATAATCTGCCCATCTCAAAATCCTTCACATCCATCACATCTGCAAAGACCCTTTTCCATACACGGGGACATATACTGGTCAAGCAACTAGAGCCTGATGTCTTTGGGGCCATTATTCACTCTGCCTCACTCATCCAGCCAACACCATTGAGCAACACAGCAGCCAGACCCAGGGCTGACCAGTGGCTGTCCCCGTCCCCATCCCCATCACAAGCTCACTGGACAGTCCAATGAACCTGTTTCTACCCACCCACCCCACCCCGCCATTTTACCTCTCACCAGCTCTCCATTTTAAGGGATTCCCTTGGTCTTTCTGGACTTCAGTTTCCCCATCTGGAAAAATGGAATGTGGACCAGATAAGCCCTAACATTCCTTCTAAAACAGCCTTTTAAATCAAAATTCGCAACGGGTTAAGGATCACATAAGTTGTATTTGTTTTTTGCTTTTTTTCTTTTTTGGAGAGGTTTTTGCTATAGGGTGCATGCGCTCACCAGACAGAGAGACAGAAAGCGAGAAATCCCTCTCCCCCAGGGGGATGGCCATGCCGCAATCCCTTCTCCTCCATTCTCCTCTCGGGATCTTGGGCATGCACACACACGCACCCGGCGTGAGTTTTAAGCCACCGGGTCCGGGACGCAAACCGTGGTCGACTATGTGGGAGTCCAGCGACATAGCCATTACGCTAACTGCTGGTCCCACATGAGTTGTATTTAAACTGCAGAATTTCCAAAAAGGTGAATTTGTGATAAAATAGAAAAAAAACAAAAGACCAGCAGATGATGTAGTGGTTATGTCACTGGGCTCCCACGTAACCAACTGCAATTCAAGTCCTGGACCTGGCAAATTGAAACTCATGCCAGGCATGTGTGGCACGTGCCTAAAGTCCCAAGAGGAGAATAGAGGAGAAGGAACTGCATTGTGGTCATCCCCCTTGAGGAGCGATTGCTCACTTTCGCTCGCTCTCTATCTCTCTCTCCCCCTCCCTCCCTCCTTTTCTCTCTCTGTCTCTCCAGTGAGCACACAAGCCCTATAGCAAAAATCTCTCTTTAAAAAAATAGATAAAATCTCACATTCAAACTGGTTTCCAGCACCTGCCTCCCCCCTAAAAAAAGTCAGAAGAGCTGTTAACATAGAATCCACATTCTGACAAGGAGCTGGGAAAAGGCTGCCATGGGCTCTTCAGGTCACCAGCACCCAGACCCCTAGGTTCCCATTGTCTTTCCAGCCTGGCTCTGCAGACATGCAAGTCTGAGACTCCTGTCCAGCGTTGGTGGAGTTAGTAATTGAGAATATGATAGGGCTAGCCCCATGGCCTAGTGTTTAAAGCAGCCAGGTCCCACATGGCTGACTGCAGTTTGAATCCTGGCCCTAATACCTGACAGACATGCCAGGTATCACCTGTGTGCCCGAAATCCTGACGAGAAGGAAGAATGGAGGAAAAGGGATTGCAGCATGACCATGCCCCATGAAAGGTGCTTTCTCTCTCTTCCTCCTTCTCTCTCTCACTCTGTGTCTCTCTGGTAAGTATACATGCCGAAGGAAGGAAGGAAGAGAGGGAGGGAGGGAGAAATAAAAAAGAGGGTCAGCCCATGGCCTGGTGGCTGAGGTAGCTGGGTCCCCCATAGCCAACTATACAATTTGAGTCCTAGACTCAGGACTTGAGAAATATGCTGGGTGTGTCCCAAATCCCAAAAGGAGGGAGAAATGGAGGAGAAGGGATTGTAGCATGACTATACCCCATGGGAAGAGCTTCGTTGTTTTCTTGTATCTCTCTCGCTCTCTCCTTATCTCTCTCTCTTTCTCTCTCTCTCTGTCTCTCTCCAGTGAGCACACATGCCTTGTGGCAAAATTTTTTTTTAAATAGTAAAAAAACACGATAGTGGCAGAGCCCAAAGGCCCTCACTCACTTTGCGACAACAGCATTCATAATAGAATTCTATCCTCAAAAACATACTTTTCTCTTTATCAAGAACTCCCCCCACCATGGCATGAAGATATGTAGGAGGAAATATTTGCAGAGACCCCAGAGCTGTTCTTCACAGCCCCTAAGTCTTCCTACCTTAACTCGGCCACCAGTATTCATGAGCCAGTGGAGGCAGAAACCAAAGGTAGTTGGAATGTGGAGGGCAAGGAGAAGCAGAGTCCGAGGGAATGTGGTGCAGGCTGAGGAGTGCTCAGGGCTTCCTGCCAGCACCAGCTGCTCCCACAGCCTCCTTGCCTGGTTGGTCCAGAGAGGTGACAGCCCCCGCCTCCCTGTGCCCCCGCACACAGGCCTGGCCCACCTGCTTTCCTCCCGGGCCCTGGGGGTTGGTTGGTTGTCAGCACCAGCCGACTCTCCACATACAGGCTTCCTGTGAAGTCAGGCACGGGACCCCTGCCCCATCTGTGCAAGAGGTCAGGGAGACCTGGCTCCTAATCGCAGGAAGTCCTGGTTGGAAGGATTTGGCAAAGGTTCTCGGAAGATTTAGAGATGCTAGACTGACTCTTGGCTTGGGGATGAGCATCCAGCTAGCAAAGTGGAGGAAAAAAGGATTTAATTTAGTTGTTGCCAGAAAGCGTAGACAATGCTTGCCGTGTGGAGGCAGAGCCCCATACCTGGCCTTATAGGGGAACAGAACAAGGAAAGCAAAAGAGCAGGGGGAAGGGCATAGAGGAAGGAGAGTGACAGGGAGAGTGGTGCTTGTAACCAGGAGGAACCTTGCTGTCTCCTGCTAGAGTGTGGGCTAAGGAGCTCCCAGGGAAATGGGGCTCCTAGTGGTCTTTGGACAACTTGGGGTGCTCTGACAATGCAAGGTCCAGGTTTCCTCCTAGACCCACTCTTTACATTCTCCAGTGGGTGGGCTCATGAGTCTGAATTTTAACAAGCCCCTCTAGTGATTCAATTATGCCCTGAATTGGAGAACCGCCAGACGTAACCATGCAATAGCTCTGGCACACTGCTGCACTAAAATGCCAAGTCCTTGGGTAGGAGGGCGGCTTTTCCAGATAGGCAAGGACACCTGAGAGGAGGTAGGGTGGGAGCCACTTGGTAAAGGTGAGTTCCTCAATCCCATCTGGGTGCTAGAGACGAGTGAATGGCCCTCACAGACCCTTGGGCAGGCACAGAGCAAGGATGGCGTGGGGAAGCGTGAGATCAGCATGTTCAGCCACGCGTGTACCAGTGCATCACAGTGGGAACCAGTGCATCGCAGTGGAGACCAGTGCATCGCAGTGGGGACCAGTGCATCGCAGTGGGGTCCGGTGCAGTTCTTTTCCTCCCAGGAGACAGCTTGCAATGTCTGGAGACATTTTTGTAGTTACAACTTGGGGAGTTGTAACTAGGTGGGTGCCACCATTCTGCAGTGCACAGGACATTCTCCGCCACAAGGATTTCTAGGCTCTAAATGTCTATAGTGCAAGGCTGAGAAACCCTTACCTAGACAGATCACTCCAGGCTGTTGGGTAGGACTGGGACTCATGATTACTGACAAAGGAAGGTCACTATCCAGTTTCTCAGAGGCCGCGAGATGGTCCTGCTCACCTCCTTCTGTGACTCTTATGTGTATGCGTGCGTGCGTGCGTGCATGTGTGTATTTTAATGAAGAAATGATAAAATAGTTACCAAAATTACATTTCACAGATGATTACATTCAACATACCCACCTCGTTTAGAGGAACATCAGTATCCACATCTGAAGTTCTTCACAAGCATGCTGTCCAGCCTAATGGCTCCCCTAGTCCCCATAAGCCCTGTTCACATTCTTAGCTAGGATGACAGCGAGAAGCAGACATCTTACTTTCAAATCTGCTTCACTGCTCATTGACTGCGTGACAACTTTGATAAGTTATCTAATTTTTGTGGCCTTCAGTTTCTTTAGTTGTAAATGAAAATAAACAGCTCATGTTTAGTTCGTGGTGACTATATGCTAGGCATTTTACATATCTAACTTGATTTAGTTCCCAGGGGAGGATAGAGGTTAAGTGGGCCTTGAAGGCTGAATAGGAGTTGGCTGTCCATAGAGGGAAGATGAAAGGGCATCCAGAGAGGGCAAGTATAAAGGTGGAAGTGGACACAGTGAGCTCCTTGGGAAGGAAGAAGAGTAGAGAACAGACCAGGAGTGATGGGAGACGGGAAGGAAAGCAGAGAATTTCCAAGCTCCTGGGCTCCATGAATAAGACATGATGCTCGAAAATGGTCTAAATGCAGATATCTCCGCCTGTACCCCAGCCCCCAGAGAAGATGCCCCTTTCTCAACTTGGCAGTGTGTATGCCTTCTTTTCTCAGTCCCAGAGACATTAAGACTCCGAGCAGCACTAAGACTGTAATTATGAGCCACACATGACTCTTTACGTTTAAGTTAATTAAAGTTAAACAGAATTAAAAATTCAGTTCCTCAGTGACAATAACGACATTTCAAGTGCTAATTGCCGCATTGGCTAGTGGCTATAGTACCAGACAGTGCAGCCATGAATTATTTCTATCATTGCAGAAAATCCTACTAGACAGTAATGACTTAGGGGAATCTTAACACTCTATACAGAAAAGTTCCTTTCTCAGCTTCTGTCTGATCATCCACAAGCAAATTAGTAGTAAGAATGATAGCTGGTGCCATGCCATTAAGTTCTGTGGGCTTTACTTAACCGCATCAAAAGGCTCTTTGAAAAGTTCATGTAAAAATACATATGAAAAAATGGCACGAATTCCTATTTTTTTCACCAAACAAAACTGTGCATGTTAATTTAATCTTTCTCCAAAGTGTTATCAACCTCTTTTAAAAGAAGAGTAAACTAATACCAGTTAAGTGTTCCAAAACCAGACAGTGCAGCCATGAATTATTTCTATCATTGCAGAAAATCCTACTAGACAGTAATGACTTAGGGGAATCTTAACACTCTATACAGAAAAGTTCCTTTCTCAGCTTCTGTCTGATCATCCACAAGCAAATTAGTAGTAAGAATGATAGCTGGTGCCATGCCATTAAGTTCTGTGGGCTTTACTTAACCGCATCAAAAGGCTCTTTGAAAAGTTCATGTAAAAATACATATGAAAAAATGGCACGAATTCCTATTTTTTTCACCAAACAAAACTGTGCATGTTAATTTAATCTTTCTCCAAAGTGTTATCAACCTCTTTTAAAAGAAGAGTAAACTAATACCAGTTAAGTGTTCCAAATTGCACAACTTATGACTAGCAGAGCCAAGAGTTGAACCCAGTTCTATCCAGTCCAATCCACCGTCCATGTCCTAACTCAGTATGCTACCCTGCTCATTCAAAACTATCAAGCAATTAGATCCCAGGGTGAGCAGATCTGTGGCAACAAGCCAGATGTCTCCTTCAGACCTGATTATCACTGACTGATTATGGGCTGAGAATTGAACTAAATCTACTTCTGATTTTGCTTCTAGGTGAAGGGAAGCAAAACAGCTCAACCCAGATGAGCCGCACTCCATATTTTAATATGGTCCCATATTAAAAGTATTCTTCCCCTGCTCATCACACAGGACTTTGAAATAAGATTGTGCTGGCAAAACACTTCAACTACATTATTTAAATGAAGGTATTAATGGCTTCAAAATAAAAACAAAAACAAAAGGATGATGACAAAAGACTCCAAATCTGTGTGATCCATTTGAGAGTTGTCTAGGTAATCATACCCTGTGATTTTTTGTGAACTGGCCTCATTCAAAGAGGAATGTTGGTTTACTTGCTCTGTCACCTCTGGCTTAGAATGAGCATCTGGACCAGTTTTCTTACCTCTATTCTAAACAAAACAAAACAAAACAAAACAAAGGATCTGGGCTGACCATCAGTTAGACCTAGTCTCAAATCCCAGCTCTGTTCTGTGGCACCTTAGAAACCTTAAATAACTTCTCTGTGCTTAATTTTTTTTTGTCTTTAAAATAGAGCTTTTAGGGACCAGCAGATGGCGTTAATGGCTATGTCACTGGACTCACATGTAGTCAACTGTGGTTCGAATCCCAGACTCAGTGGCTTAAACTCACGCCAGGCACGTGTGCATGTATGCCCAAGATCCTGAGAGGAGAATGGAGGCGAAAAGGTTGAGGCGTGGCCATGCCCCCTGGGGGGTGATTTCTCACTTTCTATCTCTGTCTGTCTCCATCTTTCTGGCGATTGCATGCACCCTATAGCAAAAACCTCTCAAAAAATTTAAAATAGAGCTTCTAATGTCTGTTTAGATTAAGTAAAGTGACTTATGTGTGCAAGTACCTGGTACATGGCAGATGCTCAAAATATATTAACTTTTTCTCTTCTCTGCAGAATTCCCATTTCTAATTGTATGATATTCATAGGATTAGGAGTTTCAGAGCTGAAAGGGAGCTGAGTGACATTTAGAGCAGCTTTCTCAACAGACAGTGCCCTATTTATCACCATGTAGGTTTACAATGGTTTACATTGACTTGGGAAATGTCTATAATCAAGAGACTCTCTTTGGTATGTTTTGGTGACATTTTGTAGAGGGTAAAACAAAATGTTCCCTCTGAAAAATGCAAACCTCTCCAAGCAGAAGAGCGGAAGTGACTTTGATGTAGGCCATGTGGACTGTGAGAAACACAGCAGGAAGAGAGCCTGGCTGGCTCTGAGGGAGCAGCTAGGGGAACCATTTGGGGCTATGCTGAGTTCCACTCAGTTCTAGGCTCAACTCCATCTTCTAGCTCATCCCAAAGGACTGCCTGTATACTAGATTGGGGATGGAGAAGTCCCCAAAGCTGGGAACATAGACGATATGGATAGGCAAGGGCCAGCCTTGACACAGGGACTCACCCAAGTTGAACCATAGAACAAGTCACATTGTCCACCTTGGAAAATCAACAGATGGCACAGCCTGGTTAAAACTGGATAGGAAGATCCAACAGACCAAAAATATAGAAATCAGGAGAGTAGAACTCAGAGGGTAGAAGACCGGAGGTGAGACAAGACTGATGGGACATCTGGAGTTTGGTACTAGTCCTATCTCCATCTTAGAGGATGGCCAAGCTGTGGAACCTACCCAGATAGCTTCAACCTGAACCTGTTAGAGTTCAAGGATAAGGACATAAAGTAGTTTAGTGCTTAAGAAGTCAGACTCAGGGTTGGCAGGTGGCGTGATGGTTAAGGACGCTGGACTCCCACATGGCCAACTGC